GCCAGCCTGGTATGACACGTGTGTGATGAGAGATGTATGTTGCGCCTGCGGCAAATGCGCGTGTGGGTGTGGGGGATATGCAGGCTGGCACCACTCCTGTCGACTCGTTCCACACACGCACCCTCACGCTGCTGTTGCATGGTGTCACGCACACCACAGGCGCGATCGCTGGTGGACACGCTGCTCGTGTACTGCGGGAACAAGACAGAGGGATGCTTGATGCAGATTCCGCTCGAGAAGAAATCGTCACACGAGGAGGAGTGCGGCTACCGATACGTACGGTGGACGAGAATGAGAAGAGGAAGGGGAGCGTGTACACAATCATGCTCTGTGTGTGTGTGTGCGTGTGTTTGCGCACGCGTGCGTTGTCTGTGTTTTCCGTGTGTGTGTGTGTGTGTGTGTGTGTGTGTGTGTGTGTGTGTGTGTGTGTGTGTGTGTGTGGGTGGGTGTGTGTGTGGGTGTGTGTATGTGTGTGTGGCTGGCAACAAGTATCGCGCGGTCTCTACACCATCGCATTGCAATCACCCACTCACCCGCTCATTCACTCATTACCTCCCTCCCCTTGCAGGTGAGCTGCCCAAACGACGGGTGCCGCAAGCGCATGTACCAGAAAGACCTCGCATCACACACGCTCACGTGCGAGCACAGGCGCATGCCGTGCGACGTGTGCAAGTGCGAGCTGTCAGTGTCCGATGTGCACTCGCACGCGTGTCTGACGTCGCTCACCACGCGGCTGGCATCTCTCGAGAACACGGTCACCTCTCTGAAGAAGCAGCTCAAGACAGAGCAGGAGCAGCGCTCTGTATTACAGACCCTCCTCACCGACATGCTGGCATCGGGGGATGCGCGCCCAGCCATGTCCAAACCCGCACCATCGTCGGCATCCCCGCGCACTCGCGATCTTGGCCTCACCCTCGAGGTGCAGAAGCGCACACGCAAGGATTCACCAAGGTGTGGAAGGGAGGCATATGCATGTTGTTATTATTGTTGTTGTTGTTGTTGTTGTTGTTGTTGTTGTTGTTGTTGTTGTTGTTGTTGTTGTTGTTGTTGTTGTTGTTGTTGTTGTTGTTGTTGTTGTTGTTGTTGTGGTGGTGGTGGTGGTGGTGGTGGTGGTGGTGGTGGTGGTGGTGGTGTGTTGTATGTGTTTGCGCGCGTGTGTGCGTTGCCTGTGTTTTCCGTGTTGTTGTATTTGTGTGTATGTGTGGGGGGGGGGGGGGGGAGGGGGATCGATTGCGTGCTGCTATCTGCTTCCTGGGGTGGCTGTTCTCCTTTTACCTTGCACTCCACGCATGGTCTCACCACACCTCTCACCACCCTTTCGTCCGTTCACCCTCCTCCTCCTCCTCCTCCTCCTCCTCCTCCCACCTGCCAGGCCGGCTGTCGGGGACGTGGTGCAGAGCCGTGATCCGGCATCGCACCCGCCCGAGGGCTCGCTCTCCAACGCAGCGGGCTGGATTGTCATTGACGAGCACGACCACCAGCCGTTCCAGATCCACAGCTTCCTCAACAAGACATACTGGTACCGCGAACGTGAGGTAAGAAGCGGTGTGTGTGTGTGTGTTTGTGTATGTATGTGTGTGTGCTTGTTTGTTTGTTTGTTTGTTTGTTTGTTTGTCTGTCTGTCTGTCTGTCTGTCTATCTGTGCACCCATCCATTCTGCCAGTCTCTTTGCCTGCCAGCTGTTCAGTTCTCCCACTCCCTCTCTCAAGCCAACCTCAACCTCAACCTCAACCCCCCTCGATGCTGTTGCTACTCTCTGACGATCCTCCTCATTCCCCCGCCATCTCAACCTCTCTTCGTCCCTCCTGTCCCATTCACCCGCATCTCACATGGCGCACCCTTCTCTCCTCCCTCCCTCCCCGCCCTCCTTCCACTCTCTTGACTCAAGGTGTCATTTGTTGCGCATCCAAACGACATTGTGACGCGGGAGAATGCCATCGTTGGTGTGCCTGTTGTCCGCGGGCCCCACTGGAAATGGGGCGACCAGGGCGGCACGTCGTACGGGTTCATTGTTGAGTCGGCAGCGTCGCGTGGTGATGGCTGGTGCAAGGTCAAGTGGCGCAACAACCTCGTGGCAAGCTACCGTGTTGGTGCCGAGGGCTCCTATGACCTCACTGTCGCCGATATGAGAAGGCTGGCTCGGCCATCGTGAACGCACGTGCACGTGTTGGTACATGTTTGCTTGATTGTCGTGTGTGATTGTTTTGTTGGGTTGTGATCTGTGATGCGTTTGTGGATGCATTTGGGCATGTTGCACACGCGCTTTGGTGTGTCTGTGTGTCTGTGTCCGTGTGTGTCTGTTTGTCTGTGTGCATTTGGAGCACAGCGTTGCAAGGACAGCCGCGTTGCAAGGACAGCTGCTGTCCCGTGAATTGCTTCACTGCCTTGCCTGATGATGTTGCTGTTGCTGTGTTCCTGTTGCTTTCCAACCCTTATTTGCTGCTGTTGCTGGACTGTTGATGTGGAGCGCGTGCACATGTGTGTGTGCGTGTGTGTGATGTGATGTGATGAACACAATTGCACCTCGCTCTGCTGTGTACGCTTTTCCCTTGTTACCTTTGCATTGGCGTGGTTTTGGTGTGTGTGTGTGCGCCGTGTCGCGTTTTGTTAGCAGTAAACGCAAATGACGCAAGCGAACATGTGGTTGTGTGTCTGTGTGTGTGTGTGCGTGTGTCTGTCTATGTGTGTGTGTGTGTGTGTGTGTGTGTGTGTGTGTCTGTGTCTGTGTGTGTCTGTCTGTGTGTGTGTGTGTGTCTGTGTGTCTGTGTGTCTGTGTGTGTCTGTCTGTGTCTGTATCTGTGTGTGTCTGTGTGTGTCTGTGTGTCGTGTCGTCACATTGTGCTGATGTCAGCAATAAATTCAACAAAGACAGACCACTTCCATGTGACACACAAAAAGCAGGCACGCAGGCCAGCAAAGCAGCAAGCACACCCACCAGACTCACCACACCCATCTCAGGTGACAAGCCTACACTCGTCGAGTCGTCGACAACGCTGCTGCGTTCTGTCCCGCCTTGAGCACTTTTGGAGGTGACTGGGATTTCCTTGAGCACAAGCGCTGGCGCAACGAGGGAACAACAAAAACAAGAACAAAGAGAACAAAGAGACTAGCACCGCACTGCGTGCACTGGCGCAGGCCTGCGCACTCATCAGTGAACAGCGCAGCCTCACCCCCTGCTGCTGCTGGTGACACACCAATATTCCGCTCTGACTCACGACATTATTTGCATGCGGGACACCACCCAAAGGTCTGCATGCCTCTCTGACAGACGCAGACACAACAATCCACCATGGGAATTGTCGACAAGCAGACGCCACGCACACAAAACGTCCTGCACACAAGAGGACACAACGCAGCACCAACCTGAGTTGACACACAGTTTGGTGGCAGTGGATGAGTTGGCATCTGCACTTCTGTTCATTTTCCTTCCAGCACTCCAAGCAAGCACTCTGAGCACTGAGATTGCGATCGCTTGAGACTTCTGCCGACAGCAAAGCAAGCAAGGAACACACACAAAACACCCCAGCAAGGAACAAGGAAGAAGCACCTCACTGCTTCACCTGTCTACCTGTCTACCTGTACGCCGCCACGCAAAACGGCCTCAAGCCTTTCAACCAGAAGGACCCAACAGGACCTTGAGCGAGAATGCCACCAAAACGCCCACCAACGGGGACGGGTCGCGGTGCGGACCAGCGCGATCCACCGCCGCCATACCAAGAGACCCAGCAGCAGGAACAATCGGATGCTGTGCCTACAGGCACACGCACGCCCGCGGCGAACGCGCCATCGTTTCACCCTTCCCGCCGCACGACCCGGGAGGCGCAGGAGGCTCACCGCGCAGATCATCAGCATCAGCAACAAGACCCCCCACAACAGGACCATCACGACGGCGAGGAGGACGAGGACGTGGATCTGGAGGAGGAAGAAGCCTCGACCACTGACGTGCCCGACCAGGATGCCACAGGCGACGCAAGCAACAAGCGTTACATGCTTGAGCCGATGGAGGACGTGAAGCGACGTGTTGAAATTGCCCCTGCCTCGACTCAGAAGTTTATGGAATACCTCAAGGTCAGTTCCAGCATGTGCGCATACGCTCTGTGTGGTGTGTTCTCTCTCTCTCTCTCATACGCACTCCTCTCTATCTGTCCTTCTGCTTGTATGTGTATGTGTGTGTATGTGTGTGTGTGTGTACGTACGTGCCTACATATACAACCCACTCCCCTGCTTCCATACAACCACCGAACACACACACTTAACACATACCAAACCACCTCGCTGCTGTGTTCAGGTGCTCCTCGTTCTGCTCGTGACGGCCGCCGGCGATCCCACGGACAAAGCCCAGCTGCTGGAGACCCTCAAGGATGCCAGGCAGCGTGCCGAGGAGGAGCGCTACCTCCCCTGCGATTTGGACGACTTTGACCGCATTGGCCGTGACATCGAGGATGGTCAGTTCAAGGAGGCCCTTGCCAAGACAACGCTGCTGCTGAAGGTCATCCGCCCATTCGATATCCACATGACACAGTATCTCATCGACCAGAGTCGCGTGTATGCGGAGGCGATGAAGAACAAGAACGTCGTCGTCTTCCTTGGTCGATCGGGCGGCGGCAAATCCACCTCCCTGCTCTATCTCTCTGGCTGCACGATGATCCAGCGTACCAACGCCTATCGCGACATTGGCCCTGCCCCTGGCGCTGCTCCTGAGGGCTTCAAGGTCAATGGCAACCCTGAAAGCGAGACGGCTTTTGTGCGTGGTGTTCGCTTGTCAGCCGATTACCTTGAAGAACATGGTGTGATGCTCGCAGATGACGACACAGACGTCCTGATTGTGGACACGCCAGGTTAGTTGCAGCTTTGCTGTTTCGCACCCAATACACGCACACACACACACACATACTCCCGCACACACACGCACATACACACGCACATACACACGCACACATACACACACTCTCTCTCACAAGCAAGCTTGATTCACACTTGTGTCCCCACCTCGCCCCACTAACTCACTAACTGCTCCCCCACCCCCACCCATTCCACAACTCAATACACAGGCATCGGCGATAACTGCGGTGCAGAGATCGACGTGGCCAACACCATCGGCATCCACCACGCCCTCAAGGCATGTAATGGCTTCTGGCCGGTCATCGTCGCTTCCAAGGATGGTGGCCCCAACGGGGAACTGACCAAGGCAAGCCTGCAAGTCGCCTCCAACCTCTTCAAGAGCATCAGAAGCGTCAACCAGCAGCTCTCGTTCCTCTTCACCAAGTACCAGAGCGTTGACGAGCATGACGCAATCGCTGAAATGTTCAAGGTGTTCCAGGAGCAAGCACGGGAGCGCCCTAGTGATGATCCGTATCGTGTCATCGTCCGCGTCATCGCCGCCAAGCTCAGGCAACTCAAGAGTCGGAGACAAGCCGGAGATGAGATTGTCCTCCCTCTCGAACCAGATCGCATCGCAATCCACCTCAGCGACATCTTCAACAAGCAACCCATTGCCCCGTTTAGCGTGGCCGACCACCCATCCCTCCTCTCCACCTCGGAGGCAGCCATCGCTGACCAGGCCCGCCTCAACATCGCCGCCATCCAGTTTGCCATGGAGCGTGGCGAGCACAAGCTCGCCGTTCAGCGCGTCAAGGAGCTGCAGGGCCTGCAAAAGGTGGTGTCGTCCGAGGAGGTGACGCGGGCCACAAAGAACGCCCAGCAGGCGATTGTGCAGCATCTCACGCGTGAGTTCAACGCTGTGGTGGAGCGCATCAACGAGTTCAAGGATGCTTCCACCGGCTTCATTGCCGTGGACGTGCTGGACACCCTCACCGCCATTGGCGACGCCACCCGCTTCTTCCAACGCGAGCTGCCGAACCTCGACCTCTCCGCCGTCTCTGCAGAAGTGACGGCCTCCGCCCTTGGCGATCTGGTCAACACGCTGCAGCGGGACGTGGGCCGCGCTGAGCTCTCTGCCCACGCGCGCGTCAACCAGGCCAACAAGCTGCGCACCCTCGTCGGCGCCATCAGCAGCATCCCTGCCGAGCGGTACGAGAGCGCCGTGCAGGGCCTGGCAGATGAAGTGCTTTCGATGCAGCGGCGTGCCGTGGAGGCGCTCGAACAGCGGCAGCTGCACGAGGCAGGCGAGCTGAGCACAGCCACACTGCAGGCTGCAGACGCCTTTGCCGCCCACCTCGACGCCACCCGCACGGGCCAGCTGACAGGCGCCAGCGTGGGCTCCGGTGGCGCCGGCAGCAGCGGCAGCACATCTTCTTCAACAACAACAACAACAACAACAACAACAACGACGACGACGACGACGAGCACTGCCAGCAGCCAGAAGACCAGTGCCAGCAGCCTTCCTCAGCAGGTGGGCGAGTTCACCGGCCAAGTCGAAGTCGAAGCAGAGACCGCCCAGTCAGCGTCGCAGCGCATTGCTCCCTGGCGGGGGGCATTCATCAAGTCCCTGCGTGCTGCCGTGCATCGCCCTGTTGACCAAGCCCGCCACACGCTGACCGACCTCACCCCAAACAACTTGGGCCTGAAAGGACAGACTGCTGTGGATGCGCTGGCAACAGCGCTGGCCCTCATCACCGATGTGCAGAAGACGCCCCAGCTTGCAGCCGTCATCGGCGCTCAGCAGCTGGAGTCACTGCTCGACCAGCTTGTGTTCGTGTGCGACGAGCATCTCACCCACATCATCGACGAGATTGCGGAAGTGTGCCAGCAGGACCTGACCGACGCCCTTCAGCAGGCAGAGCCGCTGGTGCTTCACCTCATTCGGTTCCGCGACCTCCCCTCCGTGGATTTGGCGCGCAAGTACACCCGTCATGAGGCCGCAGCGCGTACAGAGGTTGGCCGGGTCGTCGGCACCGCCCAACAGCTCGTGCGTGACATTGTCCACAATGCGTTTAACAATCACGACGACAGTGGCATTCACTGCTCGCTGCCAGCCCTGCTGGCCTCGCTCAAGGCCGCAACGTATGCCAACGAACTGCAGGCTGGCATGATTGACAAGGCCACCGACAAACTCATCGGCAGTGTGCGAGATGAGGCGTACCAGTTTGAAGCAAAGGCCACGCGCTTCCCCATGCAGCTCGACAACCCCGACATTGTTCCCGAAGTGGCGGAGGCCATCACCCAGCTGTCCAGTCTGCGCGCACTCGGCAGCGTCCTCGAAGGCATTGATGGGAGCTACACAAAGGCCATCGACCACGTTACAGAAGGTGTCCAACGCATTGTGGATGCAGCCAAGGAGTTCTTTGCCAAGGTCCCAAAAGACATCGCATTTGACAACCCTGCAACGGGCGGTGACGAAGACGTCTCGAGCACTTCACCATCGACCACGCGCCTTGACTTCCAGCTCGACCTGAGACGTGTGAACCGCATCCACCACTTCCTCCACAAGGCGACCAAGGAGTCCCATCTCAGTCTCTACGTTGCCAGCATCAACGCCTTGAAGAACGTCTTGGAGGAATCCATGGCCAACTACGGAGCGTACATTCGCCGCTGCCTCTCTCATCTTTACCACAACGTGCTCGAAACGTTTGTGAACGATGCGGCTGAGGATGCAGTGGCTGCCACCAAACGCCTGAGGATGGCTTGCCTCACGCTCCAGATTCGACTGGAGGAGTTGCAGCGCATGGAAGATCAGTTCCCAGAACTGCATGTGCTGGCGTTCCAGAACCCGCCACAAGAGCTCCGCACCTTGGGTCAGGATGCAGCAACCCGAGATACGGAGTGCCGTCAATTTAAGCAGGACGGACGACTCAATGAACTGCATCGCCACGTGCTGGCTGCAGGCATCTTGCGACAGCTCGACGGCGTCCTCGGGGGCGCCATCACGTATGCCCAGCTCTACAAAGAATTTTCTGGGGAGGTTGCCGACTTCAGGGACAACGCTGTGCAACAACTCACGCAAGCCGTGGAGGCGCGCGATTTCCCCCGGGCAGCGACCTTGCTCAAGCAGCTTCACGACACAAGCACCCAAAAGCGGCCAACGTTGGACCAGTCCATCATCACTGCAGTTGATGCAACCTACGCCAACTGCCTGAAGCGTGCTCACCAGATCACCTACGTTAACAGCGAGAGGTCGCGTCTGCGGCGGTTCGAGGAACTGCAGCAAGCCCTCAACATGGCAAAATCGACCAAGCAGCTGCAGGCGCCCGGCCTGAAGCTCGTTACCGCAGAGCAGGCAGAAGAGTGGGAGAAGAAGATCGCTGCCGTGAGGAACACAGTGAACACATTCCTAACAGATGAGTGCGACCGAGTGGAAAACGACATGAAGCGATGCTGCTTCGCCGAGGCCCAAACCCAACTGCAGGAGCTTGCTTCCTGTCTCCAAGCTGTTGAGCACGAGCTTGAGGGCTTGGATGAAGCACACGCGCGCATCAGCGACCTCAAAGCAAGCATTCTCAGGGGCCCCGAGGAGGCTGTCGCTGCGTTTGAGGGCCTGACATTGGAGAAGGCCATCAGCAACCCGCCGCAGGTCTTGGCACACCTTGCCAAGGAGAGCGCTCAGGTGAAGGCAGCCGTGAACCAGCGTGTGATGAAGCTGCTGACAGACTTTAAGGCCCGCATGTCCAGCGACGATGTGATGAGTGTGAACCTGGAGGTTGTGATGCAGCACCTGGAGCACTTCAAGGAGCTGTGCCCTGATGACATGCAGAAGCAGGTGACTGCGACATCGGATGACATTCTGGCGACGCTTCGCCAGCGCATTGTATCACGGGCGAGCGAGCTCAAGGAGCGGCTTGACCACGACGACTGGGATGGCCTCAAAGCTGACGTTGGGCTGATGCGCAAGCAGCCTGTGGGCCAGCTTGCCAACACCATCAACGCGCAACTCACGTCCAAGGTTGACGGCATCGCCGAGGACGCCTTCCAAGCGCTCGAGGACCGCAGACAAGACCGGCAGCTCCTCAAGGTTGTGAAGCGCCTGGCCAAGTGCAACGAGATTGGCGTGCCGACTGCAGCGGCCAAGCTGAAGGCCATGGTGCAGCAAGCGACATCGAAGCTGGGCGTTGAGCACCAAACCATGGCGCACGTGTTTGCCTCGCCCCAACTGACGGAGCCAGGCATTGCCCGTGACGTGTCCCAGGACTTTGCAAGGAGCGTGGTGCGCGCCCTCTATTTGGAGAGCAGCATTCAGCTGGCAAGCAACTCCATCAAGAAAGACAGGACAACTGGCGGCGGAGGCAGACTGCAGCGTCGCGAGACGGACGATGGTGCGTCTGTGCTCGAGGACCTCCGTGCATGGGCAGTGAAGTGCTCGAAAGATGTGGCCAAGTTGCAGCAGGACGTGGGCCATCTCAAGACCGCGCTGGCAGAGCTGGAGCCCTCCAAAGTGGACTGGAACGCCTTTGCATCCGTCAACACGATGATGCTGTCGCACCAGTGCGGGCTGGTTGCATGCACTGGTTCGGAGCTTGCCCGCCCCGCAAAGGAGCTTCACATCGCACCAGCTGTTCTGGAGGAGTGCCAGAAGTGCAAGCAGTCGCTCGATGCAGTCGTGTCGGAGCTGGATGACGTGACATCAAAGTGGTTCGACGAGAGCATGGGCATCAACGTGCTGGATGACCAGTACAATGTCAACTCAGAGGAGATGCGCAAGGCATACGCACGCCTCCACTGCACGAAGCAGCTCCTGGAGCTGACACTTCCCTTTGCGGCCTATTTTGCAGACGGGGTGGAGGCGGTGCGCTCACGCCCGGAGCAGCTGTCCGAGCACGTGCAGCTGCAAGAGGAGCACATTGCATCAGAGCTCGACGCAGCCCAGACGTCACGCAAGTACGATAGGATGGAGACCCTGATGCAACACCTGAGCATTGTCGGTGCCGTGCAGGATGCCAGGCCACCCCAGACTGTGGGCAGGTACTCGGGATCGGGTTCAGGCTCAGGCTCCCCTTCGCGGCGGCGCAGTGCACGACGCGGGCGCAGCAAGCGCACGGAGATCATTGCCAAGCTTCAGCGGTCACTCATGGCGGACGCCATGGGCAAGGTGAAACAGCTGCACGATGCAGCCACCGACGACGAGATTGCAGGTGTGCTTGTTGAGCTGCAGCGGATGAGTGACAACGTGGACTGTGTTCGCGATGAGGTCGAACGCCGTGTGAGGGAATTCCTGGGCAGCTACAACAAGAAGAGCAACAAGCACATTCCCAGGCTTGGCCTTCGGCTGGACGGGCTACAGTCCCCAGAGGCACAGCGTGTGCTGCAGGCGTACGATGTGTTCACCGGGTATCTGCGTCGCCTCTTCAACGACAAGATCAGCTCTGTGGGCATCGACGACGCGCTGAAGACGCTGAAAGAGGATGACATCAACAAACTCACACTCGAACACTGTGACGAGCTGAAGCGCATGTTTGACGAATTCCTCAAGCAGTACCACAAGAACTTGAAGATGATCACCGATGGACCAAAGGCAGTCGACGAACTTGCTGCAAGTGCGAGGGCTTGCGCTGCCGAGATCACAAAGAACCCAGACCTTCACGCTCAGGGCATGGAATGGACGGCTCCAATGAGGTCGCGGCTGCCGACACTCATGGCGCACATCTTTGGCATGTGGACGCTGCACCACGCGAGCAACCCCAACCAGGCACGTGAGGAGCTCCTGCAGCCGCACGCCTCCCAAGCCCTGGCCATCTTCCGCCTGCTTGGCGCTGGCACTGAGAAGGGCGAGCTGCACTCAAACCTGGTGCAGGTCCTGACGGGACAAGGCAAAGCCGTCATCTTGGCTGTCACGGCATCTGTGCTTGCGCTGTACGGCATGCACGCCAGCGTTGCCTGCTACTCCGAGTACCTGACCACGCGCGATTATGGCGATTTTGTGTTCTTGTTTGACAAGCTGGGCGTGGCTGAGCATGTGGAATACGGCACGTTCAACGCCCTGTGCGAGTCGCACATCAACAAGGAGGGCGACATCCGCGAGCGCGTGCAGCACTTGATCCAAGAAGACAAGTTCCAGAAGCCTGGGTGGATCAAGCGCGCCAAGGACAAGGCTGCTGCCTTGAAGGACAAAGCAGCAAGCTTCCTGCCTGGAAGTGCCAGTTCCTCCAAGGTTCCGCGCCCTCGCGTGCTGTTGATTGACGAAGTTGATGTTGCGCTCGACCCAAGCATCATGAGCAACACGTACGCGCCCAACTGCAAGGTGACCAACGAGGCTGTCAAGAACTTGGTGATGCACCTGTGGGACAATCGCACAACTGGACTCACCTTCGCCAAGGTGGCCACCTCGACGCAGTATGAAAGCCTCCAGCAGCAGTTTGCCAAGCCGTACCACGACCTCCTCCGAAGCTGCGTGAACGCCATGATTGTTGACCTGCAATCGTATGAGAACCACGGGTACGTGTTTGAGGGCGGCCGCATCGGTTACAAGCTGCACGACACCGTCAACTACAAGATGCGCATGCGCTACAAGACCTTGTTCGCGCTCATGCACGAGCTTGAGAAGACCGGCGTTGACGTACACACTTCCCAGGACGTGGCCAAGGAGGTTGCCTTCCTCATCAACTGCGGCGCGTTCTCGTACTTTGAGGTGCAGCGCACGTTTGCCTGCACGCTCGGTGTGACGGGCACGCTCAAGGACCTGTCTGCTCCCGAATTTGGGGTGCTGAAGGAAGACTACGGCATTCACACGTACACGGTGATGCCGTCCATGTTTGGCGCGTCGCAGCTGAAGCCGTTTGAGGCAAACGACCTGAAGATTGTGCCCGCTGACCAGTACCATCTGACCATCACCCAGGAGATTCGCAAGCGCCATGGACAGGGCCGCCCCGTGCTTGTGTTGTTTGAGACTGCACGTGAGCTTCAACAGTACTACAAGCACGAGTCCCTCGCTGGCCTCATGCAGCACGTGCAGATTCTGAGCGAGACACTGGATGCTTCCGAAAAGGAGAAGATTGTGCGCAATGCGACGCAGCAGAAGCGCATCACCCTTTGCACCCGCTCGTTTGGGCGCGGCGTGGACTTCCAGGTGCGTGACCCGGCCATCCCAGACAAGGGCGGTGTGCACGTGCTGCAAACGTTCCTGGCAGAGACGATGGCTGAGGAGCGGCAGTGCATGGGCCGCACGGCTCGGCAGGGTGAGCCGGGCAGCTACTCGATGGTGCTGCGCCGTGAGCAGCTGGAGAAGTTTGATGTGGACTTTGAAGCGCTCGACAAGCAGGAGAGCAGTCACGAGCTGCGCAAGTATCTTCACGAGAGGCGCGATGATGCGTTTGGGAAGCAGTTCAAGCAGTCGTACGAGATTGCGCGGGCTGTGAAGAAGGAGCACGAGGAATCGATGGCATTCCTTGAGGAACTGAGTGGCGAGCGCAAGGCTGAAGTGGTGAAGGCGCTTGAGAAATGGAACTACACGCGCGAGGTGGCGTCCAAGGTCACGCGCACATTCTACGCGCTCGATTGCACTTGCTCCATGAGCACCAGCTTGAAGAAGACCACGCAAGTCATTGGCACCGTCTTTGAGCGCACCGAGAAGATTCTTGACGACGCCGGCTTGCTTGGCAACAGCGATGTCGCCATGCAGCTGGCGGCATACCGCAACTACAACGTGGATGCGGACCAGCTGCAGCAGGTGTCGGGCTGGGAGCAGAACCCGCTTGCACTGCGGCAGTTCCTGTTTGGCCTGAAGGTGAATGGTGGCTGGGGCAACGAAGCCATTGAGGTTGCGCTTCACCGCGCCAACACGGAGAAGGACGTGTCGCAGGTGATTTTGATTGGCGACGCACCAGCCAACTCCCCAGATGAGGTGGCATCCAAGCGAAACAGCAAAGGTGAGCGTTACTGGTCCAAGTTTCCCGAGTTTGCCAAATCCACGACCGCTGAGACCGAGCTGCAGAAGCTGAAAGAGAAAGGCATCCCGGTTCATGCCTTCTACATTCAACCGCGCGCAAAGGACTTCTTTGAGCACGCCGCTCAGGTGACTGGTGGGCGCTGCGAGTTCCTGGACATTGATGATGCGTCTGGGGCTGATCAGCTCACGAACCTTGTCTCCGAAGAGCTGCTGCGGCGCGCGGGCGGCGAACAAGGCAACCAACTCGTTGACACCTACCGAGCCACTTTCTGCAAGTGATCTGATTTGTGATGTGATATGTGTGTGTGTGTGTGAATGGACCTAAAGACTGACTCGTTGCGATATTGTTTTGTTTGGGTTGTCTGTGTGTGTTGTGCCTGCATGCTTTTGCGTTTGCCCTCTTTTCTGTTGTGAAACGAGTTGCTGTCTTCTGTTTCTACGTTTAAAGAGCATGTGTACGTTGAGTAAACATCAAGAACAACGAGCAAACAGAGACCCTTTTGTCGCTTGAGTGAAGGAATAGATGCGGTGTGAGTGCCTGAGCGCCTGAGCGCTGAGCGACATCATCACGCAGAAGACGTGGGTCAGACAGCAATGGGTGCATGACCGGCCAGGTAAGACCTCATTGCGACACCACAAATTCATCGCCGCCTCGTGTGTGTTTCGTGCAACAACGATGATGCTCTTCGCTGACGGTCTCAAAGTGTGGCACGTCCAGGTGCGTTCACACTATCAAACCTTTGCCCCCCCCCCATCAATCCCCATCAACCCAGCCCAGGCACCATTCCCTCCCAGCTTCGCGCTCATCATGCTCTCTGACTTCATGCTTTCCTTAAATGCCGTAGGCCGCTGGCCTGGCGTTCCTTGGCGGACTTGCGACCGTGATTGAGCGCCGTGCCGCCATGCGCGGCTGCAACCGCGAGCCCATGCCAGGTCAGTGGACCAGAAGGTAGTGTGTGTGTGTGCGTGTGCGTGTGCGTGTGCGTGTGCGTGTGCGTGTGCATGTGCGTGTGCGTGTGCGTGTGCGTGTGCGTGTGCGTGTGCGTGTGCGTGTGCGTGTGCTCTGTGTATTTGTGTGCGTGTGTTCGGTGTGTGTGTGTGTGAATGTGTGCTTGCACAAACACACTGCCTGCGCCAACGTTGAGCATGAATGGTGACAATCACATAGTCCCCTCGCACACTCACACGCACTTGCACACATTCACCCACTCTCTTCATGCAGCATGGTTTGACCGGTTCCTTCGCATCGCTTTCCTTGGCATCCTGGTATGCATGCTCCCTCATTTTCTTGCGTGCGCCATGGGCGTGTTGTGCACACTGACTGACACAACAAGCTCACCTTCCCCACCTCATTGTCCATCCCAACTTCGCTGGTGCAGGCCGCCCCGACGTGCTACACACTGGACACGACCATCATGCCGTTTCCCATCTGCATCCCTGCTCTCTTGGTGCGCTATGTCACACCATGCAACTTGCTGCAGCCACAAATGCTCCAGAGCATCACACCCACTCCCTTGCATCCACACCCACACATCCCCGCTCGTTCACGCTCACTCACAAATTTCCCTCTTCACTCTCTCACTTTTGTTCCCATTGTTATCCCAGCTGTACATGATTCCCTACTCCGACCTCTGTGAGCAACACGGCGGCCGCACCACCCTCCGCGCGGTGAGAATGCATCCACGTGTTGCATGCCATGCTCTGTGTGTGTGTGTGTGTGTGTGTGTGTGTGTGTGTGTGTGTGTGTGTGTGTGTGTGTGTGTGTGTGAGTGAGTGTGAGTGTGAGTGTGTGTGTGTGTGTGAGTGTGAGTGTGTGTGTGAGTGAGAGAGAGAGAGTGTGTGTGTGTGTGTCGTGTGTTTTGTAATGGTCGCCGTCCGCCACCCCCTGCCCCCCTCACGCGCACTCTTTGCCCCTCCTTCACTGGCTATCACCTGGACACAGCGCAAGTGGGCACTGTTCAAGTGGCTTCGCAAGCGCTTCCACGTGCAGCTCGTCAAGACAGCTGACCTGAACCCCGACCAATCGTACGCATGTGTTGAAAATGTTGGCGAGCGTGTTGTGGTTTTGTTTCCGTTCTCCCGCACCCCTCTTCCCTCCTGTCTCCGACTTGACCTGACTGTATGTCACTCACCCACTGACCACCACCACCATCACCTTTGCTGCACCCATCGCAGGTACATCTTTGGCCTCCACCCGCACTCTGTCCTTCCCTTTGGCGCCATGATCGCCATTGGCGACGAGACCGAGGACTCGCAGTTCAAGGTGCGGCAGTTCTGGTGGCGACGATGGTGGTGGTGATCGTGGCACTGCTGGTGGCGGTGGTATTGGTGTTGGTGGCGGCGGTGGTGGTGATTGTGGCGGTGAAGTGTAATGAACGGGGTGGATGGTGATGATGACAGCAGTGCGCGGGCGCTCACCGCTGCAGACCATTGGGTGGCATCGACTCGTCTCTCTTGTTGCACCTCCGCGCTTCATGTGGCGGCTTTGCCTCAATTCTCGCCAATGGTCACACTCCCGCCACCCTTTGCCACCCTTCCCACCCCTGCTCTGTTCTGTTCTGGTGTGAAGAAATTGTTCCCCGGCATTGACTTCCGCACGCTCGCCGCCACCTTCTGCTTCTACGTCCCCGTGTATCGTGACATCCTCCTCTGGGGTGGTGAGCAGAGATGCCATTGCTTGCACACTTCCTGTATGGCTCGACCTGCACCTGCTGCGCACTCCCTTCACCGATGCACTCGCGGTCAAAAGAACGGCCATATGCCAGCCCATCCCTCAACCACACCTCCCACCCCGTGTGCGTGCGTGCGCGCGTGTGTGTATGTTTGTGCTTGTGTGTGTTTGTGTGTGTTGGTGTGTATGTTGATGTGCATGTGCATGTGTTTGCGTTGTCGTTTGCTGCAGGTGTTGTTGACGCTGCGCGGTACAGCGCCAAGCGCATCCTCAACATGGGCCTCTCCCTCGCCCTCGTCCCCGGCGGCGGTGCGTCACCTGCCGCTCGATATTGTTGCTGCTGCTGCTGCTGCTGCTGCTGCTGCTGCTGTTGCTGTTATTGTGGTGTTTGCTCGGAAGGTGCCTGACGTGACATGGCCATCCCACCCCCAACCTGCACTACCTCACACTTCCTCACCCCACCCTGCCCACCTTTACATCACCCATCTCTCCCCCATGCTTCCACCTCACACGACCAACCTGCTCCACCCTCATTCATCCTCACCCATCCTCGTCCATCTTCACCCATCCTCATCCGCACCAGCAACGGAGGCACTGCACTGCCATCCGGAGAAGGACGTCGTGTACCTGAAGAACAGACGCGGGTTCATCAAGCTCGCGCTTGAGACAGGCAGCCACCTCGTCCCCGTCTTCTCGTTCGTACGTCGACGCACTTGCATGTAGCCATGTTGGGCTTGTTGTCGTTGCACTGCTTGCGCTGTTGCTGCTCTCACTGTTGTGTGTCAGTCATTCGCAAGTGCGCACTCATGGTTGTTCCACACACACACACACACACACACACACACACACACACACACACACACACACACACACACACACACACACGTATCACATTGCAGAACGAGAACAACACATACGACCTGATCGGCATCGACAACCCCCTCATCGACAAGCTGAAGAACAAGTTCCAGGTCACACAAAACCAAAAACACATACACACACACCCTCCTGGGCCTTCAACCTCTTTTGTCCGTTGCCCCTATCTCCCCCATTCATCCTTCGTTCCTTCCATCCTTCATTCCTTCCATCCTTCATTCCTTCCATCCATCCACCCCAGTATTTCCTCTCTGCTTCCTTCCTCCCCTCCCCCCTACCCTAATCCTGCACTTCCCTTGCTGAGAAGACGCGATCGAGCCGGGCGCAGCTGCCACGCCACACCTTTGTGTGGCCGTGTGCTTCAAGGCCCCTCAATGACGATTGCGACACGGCGAGCCACCCAGTGGCGGGGAAGAAGAACAACCCGCACTGTGCCCCGCTTTTTTTTTTTTTTGCGCGCGATGCCTCCCATCATCCACCCCATGTGCTGTCGCTTCCATGTGATGCACGTGTGGTGGCTTTGATGGTGTCGTTTGGGCTTGGTGTACTCGGGGGCTCTTGGTGTCGGTGTTCACTTGCTTCGTCCAGTGATTCATGAGGCTGCTGAACCACTTTCCTAATGTTCCCTGGCATGCCCTCACGCCGATGCGTGCCCCCACAAACCCTACTCTTCACCACCTCTTGCTTCTTTCCCTTTTCCTTCCCTTTCTTTTCTGCCTTCTTTCACTGCTCCTTGTTGTTTGAAGTGTGGAGCTCCCCTGTCTGAACTTGAGTGAAACACATACATACACACACACACACACACACACACACACACACACACACACACACACGATATCTGCACTGCACATTCCTCACCCGCATCCCCCATCACACCACCCCATCCCTCCCCCCTTTTCCCTCTGTACAGCGCGTGTTTGGCATCTCGCTGCCGCTGATCAAGAACGTGCTGCCGAAGGAGTGCCACATCACGACAGTTGTCGGCGCCCCGATCGCCGTCCCAAAGATCGAGGACCCCTCGAAGGAGCAGGTGCGGGACAGTTGGGCAAAAGGGGGTGGTTTGGTTGGTTGGTTGGTTGGCGTGATTGTGACGTGAGAGAGTGGCGTTGTGGTGCGAGTGCGTGCCAAGCCAATGGGCTCTGTTCCTTTGACTCATTTCATGCCTGGTTGCCATCGTGTCACAGGTCCAGCAATACCTGAACCAATACATCGAGGCGCTGCGCAAGGTGGGGTGTGCTTGCCGTGCTGTGAAATTCCTGCAACCACGCAACACGTCACACACACACACACACACACACACACACACACACACACACACACACACACACATCACACACACACACACACACACACACATCACACACACACATCGCGCACGCAGACGCGCGCGCGCGCACACAACATGCACATGTACACTGCCCCTGAATCTCACGTAACCCTCCTTCACCCTCGTCACCGCCGTGTTCAGCTGTACAACGACAACCGCGAGAAGTACAACATCCCCAAGACGAAACCGCCACTTGAGATCATCTGAGCCAAACTGCCAACTCTCTGCCCCGCGTCCGCTATCCAAGACGCCATGATCATGTGTCCGCATGTGTCCGCGCACATGCATACTTACATACCCATACACTCACTGGTTGCATTGCCAGCGTTACGTGCCCCCTTTCACTGTGTGTTTTGTGGCGTGCCAAGTTGCTGTCATGTGCACCAGCCCATTGCCTCTTTACCGTGTCTTTGTGTGGCCTGCTGTTGCTGTTCCCTCCCCCTACCACCACCACCACCACCACCCATTCTGCTGTCTCTTCTTGAGCTGCTGCATGTCTCTTCATGGATCCATTATTAGATTGTGAGGATATAACACAATGGCAGTCAACATGTGTGCGTGTGTGCGTGTGTGCGCGTGTGTGCGTGCGTGTGTGCGCGCGTGTGTGTGTGTGAACCAAGGAACGAAGCAGAATCGATGTAACGGAGCGCACAACGGAAAGCAATTGCGCCATCAAGAACATCACACGTCCCACTATCCCTCGGTGTGTGTGTGTGTGTGTGTGTGTGTGTGTGTGTGTGTGTTGTGTGTGTGTGTGTGTGTGTGTGTGTGTGTGTGTGTGTGTAAAGGGCTATGTCTAGTTTGTTTCTCGCACGATCCGTGTCACGCTTCATGCGAATGAGAATCCCTCTGCCCCATATGAGAGGGCGGTATCCAGGGCAGTTCTCAGCTCATCTTTGCTGTCGTATTGCGCAAGGCGAAGGAGGTTGAAGCTGTGCAGACATGATGGTGATGGCAAGCGTGAGGAACGGTACGAGTGAGGTCGACGTAGCAGACACAAGGCTTGAGGGGAAGACACACACACACACACACACACACACACACAGACACACAGACACAGACACACGCACACACACACACACCATGTGCTTGCTGTTGGGAGGTCGTGGTCGGTTGTGGTTCTGGCGATGGTGAATTTTGCCATTCCATCAGACGTCGGCTGTATGTGCGTGCGTGCGTGTGTGTGTGTGTGTGTGTGTGTGTGTGTGTGTGTGTGTGTGTGTGTG